TGATCTAGCGGTGAGCTATATCCATGACTGACCGGTATTGTGTCGGCCCATCGTCGTAAATTATCCCGCTCATGCACACATACAAAACGCTGCATTATTGCGACGCGCTTCTCGTAGGATTACCCCTTTGTTCATCTGAATATTACCACTTGCATATTCCTGTTAATCATCGAGATCTGCCATTTCATCGTTAGGTCTGTCCCATCGGTCTGATCAATGTGAATCGCAGACATTCAGTGACATCTTTGCTCCTCGCGAAATCACATTCATGCTTTAATCATGGCTCTTAGGTAGATTCCCCGAAATTCTGTGTGTGTGTGTGTACCTATGCGTGTGTACATGAAAACGTCTGTACGTGTGTACATGTGTGCGTCTATGCGTGCGTACACAGATATGTGGCCCTAGGTGCATTCTTTTAGGGCGGATTTACTTGGGAAAGGGAACGGTTATACGTGCACGGTAGAAATGTCTCTGGTATTAGTAACTTGAAAGCCGAGTGTGTAAATCATTCACAGATTACCTGTTCCATGGGTGAACTGGAACGTTTAACTCTCCAAATGTCACTGATAGGGAAATCACTCTGTTGACTACGCTTGAGCACAATCTTGTACACATACCATTCAATGAGTGCATCTACTCCCCCCCCCCCACTTACAGGCTTTGAAGTTGACTGTGACACGGGTTCTTGACTTCATTCATACAAGCTAGTTCACTGTGAGGAAATCCGGATTCTCGAGCAGTCTTATACGTATGGTTTCTATTGATAACTCTCGTTAGTGTTAACGGTAATGGGTTTCTGGTAGCAGTGTTGTGCGGTGCCACACAATTATGAATAGCGTCTTTGGTGGTCGCACGAAGAGGCGATTGGTGGACTTTCACAGCATCTGGGAGTGGATTAAGGGATTTATTATTGTAACTATAGAAGATACAAAAAGATTATCGAGCTACTGGACGACGGGTCGAGGGGCTTCATGAAACTATAGATCAAGTGTTGCAGATTAATGTTTTGTTCTATGTAATCGTATTTACCCCTGGTGCTAGATGATGTTCCAATAAACGATTCTCATAAATCCTGCACTGGACTTTTGGAGTTAGTAGTAGTAGTAGTAGCAATTCTTGCTCAGGAACTGAACATTTTCCGGTCACTCAACTCTCACTTGTGACCCCTTGGTGACTTAAAACAATGGGGATTTGCGGTCTCATTCGTTTTCGTATACCAGTTACGCCAAATTGACCGGACGAGTCCCAATTAGGGATCCAGTGACTCACCGGACAGTCGGAATCCAAGTGTATCCTTGCAAAGGTAGTACAGTCTTGTAAGTCAGATCACATCTGATAGTGCAAAGGTTTCAGAGTTCATCTTCGATCAATAGTCAGACGATGTTGGCGATGGCGTTCGAACCCAATTTCTCCTACCCTACATGAACTCTCGTAGGAGATAGCCCAGGTAGATTAAAAGTGAAGTATTCAGTGGTAACCATCCGGGTTCATGATGTACCTTTCAAAATTGCATTGATATTCACAATGGTTATATTCGTCGACGCAAGACGTGATAACCTTTTTACGTGAAGAGACTGCAGATGGGCTACAATAGAGTAGTTAACTAATCTCTTCTATGTTAATTTATTCTTTTAAGTGTGTCTGTGGTGCATGCTACATAGGTCCCACGTAAGGCGTTTCCCTTAGTACGTTAAAGCTCACCAGCCGCATTTGTTAAGTCAGGAGAGGACCAGCACTATCTGTCGCACAGTCGTGGGTCATATCTTGGACACCAGATACGATCGAAACGGGGTAAGTTTTCACTCTTGTGTATCGCGTATCACTCAGTGGATCAGAGGTCACCCTAGTTTGAACAGTAGCCATGGCCAAGACAATCGCCATTTGCTTAATCTTCTTCTTCGGAATTTTCCTCCTTCACTGAAAATCTGTCCCGAATCGAACAGTTTTCAAATCAGTCTGGCCTTGATATTAACTCATCCAAGTGTTTGGAGTGCATTTTTAGTTCTTCCCGCTGTACATTCCCGTCAGACCCTGTAACCCTTAATAGTAACCCTTTGTCTAGAGTGACCTCAGCCAAATATCTCGGTGTTACTATCGATAATAATCTTCGGTGGTCGACACACGTTCAGAACTGTATGGGAAAGTTTCGGCGCCTCTCCTTTTAGTTCCGAAAGGTCAGACAATTTCGTACTCCACAACAAGTTTTGTTCTCTTTTGCTAAATAACGCGTTCTTCCTGTTTTACTTTACTGCTCCCCTGTAGTGTTTCCCGGTCTATTGAAACAGTACTTTAAAACTATCCGTCGTGGATTGAGGATAATAAGTCGTGCATCTTTAATTTCTGCCGAGTCATTATTCACAGAACTTATTAGTGGACACATGAAGTCTTGTGTGACCTTTACCAATAAGATTCTAAACGACCGCTCCCATCCTTTGCATTTTGACTTATCTTCTTGTCGCTATCAGTCGATCACTCGTTCCTCTTATCAGTACCTAGTGAGAGAAAGAGAGA